ACACGCACACGCGCACGCACACACACACACACTATACCCTGCTTCTCCTGCTCACCTTCTGCTGGGTAATACCCTGAGCGACAGTACCGTCGTACACGCACTATACCCTGCTTCTCCTGCTCACCTTCTGCTGGGTAATACCCTGAGCGACAGTGCCGTCGCACACGCTCTATACCCTGCTTCTCCTGCTCACCTGCTGCTGGGTAATACCCTGAGCGACAGTGCCGTCGCACACGCTCTATACCCTGCTTCTCGTGCTCACCTGCTGCTGGGTTATACCCTGAGCGACAGTGCCGTCGTACACGCACTATACCCTGCTTCTCCTGCTCACCTTCTGCTGGGTAATACCCTGAGCGACAGTACCATCGCACACGCACTATACCCTGCTTCTCCTGCTCACCTTCTGCTGGGTAATACCCTGAGCGACAGTGCCATCAAACACGCTCTATACCCTGCTTCTCGTGCTCACCTGCTGCTGGGTAATACCCTGAGCGACAGTGCCGTCGTACACGCTCTATACCCTGCTTCTCATGCTCACCTTCTGCTGGGTAATACCCTGAGCGACAGTGCCATCGCACACGCTCCCCTCCTCCATGACGCTGTCTAGGAACGCTGTCAGCTTCTCTTCGTCGTGACCTGCGTGTGACCCCGACGTCTCGACGAGACAGTAGAACTCTCCGCTCGAGAGAGGATTCCTGTCAAACGCCGGAAAGTTGCAGATAGATCTAGACGCACTGCAGATGTTATATACCTCTACCACCATATATATACACACAGAGGAACCCGATAACATTACAATGCATTTTCGGTACGGGTATCAGTTTTAATGGATAGCCTGACCCATAAAATTGAATTAACTGATAGCCTGACCCAATTACATGAATTGACGGCCATCTTGAACGCAATCTTAAATTTCAACTATCCTTTGCATGATTCAGAATGTCTACCCAAGTTTTTTTTACTCCCAGGGGTGTCCCCTACATGAATCAAGCGTCAAACTGCGGGGACATATAAATGCACACAGGACTTCCCCCAGCTGATAGACTATAGTGAAGTGAAACCATGTACAGTGAAACCTGTGTTAGCTGACACGTCCATAGAAAAGACACCACCCATCTATAAAGGACAGTTTTCTGTTTTTTTCCTTCAGTGGCAGTTATACAGTAGGTGCGTTCACACTGGCGCGAATTAGCGGGCTGCAAAACCCGGTTTTTGTAGCTCGCTCGAAAAACTGAGCTTTTTACAAGTGTGAACGCAATTAGCTCACTAAATCGCGCTCCAAATAGCCCGCTCCTAAGACCACTTCTGACTG